CATATCACCCTGCCCCTCTTTTCCATCTCCTCATCTTCTGGAGACATCGCAGTTGCTCATCACTCATCACTGCCCTATCGATTCCATTGCGAAACCAACGATTTTTAGCTTCAAATGCTCTCGGTGCAAACGCGAAAATTCAAACATGTGAACGATCGTTTATAGCGAAAAGGAAATGACATGACAACAAGATCGTTGTGTGACGTACAGTGAGGAGATGTAACTATGTGCGAATGTCATAAAAAGGTATGTGCATTGAAAGCGAGGCAAACTTTCTTTAGATTTAGATGGTTTAGCGAACAAAGTCATAATTTTCCTTCTCTTCATATGATTTCTTCAATGTTTTACATAAATCTAATCTTTACGTAAAGCTTTACAAACCAGTTTTTTAACCTCCTCAAACCATCTCCTTTCCGCCCACTTACGTTCAAAAATATGCAGCAGCAATGTTGCTCCAAGAGGTACTGCGCGCCGGAGCCAGCAGCAATTTCGAAGAATACAAGTTTTTCTTATTGGTCTCTTGAGTGTTATTCGAACCCTGTTCTACCCTTCCTTGATTTTCATGTTTATTCATTCATAAGCGTTTCAAAGAGGAAGTCGTATTTTTGTTGCTAAGTCAGTCCATTCCCGCAAAAATTGTCAGAGCCATCACATGCCGAGCCCTGTTATCAAGCTCTGATCATGCTCGTTTTTGCTCTAGCTCACATCTACTCTTTGTGTGTGTGTTTTTGTTCTTGTCCCCATTTCCCGACATCAGTAGTAACCACGTAATCCTACTCGATCGGAGACATGGAGCAAGCAAATTCATTAGGACCTTCACAGAAACGAGATTCTTCAAAAAGATGTTCCGTTTTCAAGTCCTCGGAGTTAATTTCGCTCGCTACCAATATAGACATACCACTAAATCCGCGTATTTTGCTTTCATATGTTATCAAGTAAACTTTTGATTAACGAGAGGTTCTCTAGGACGCATATAAGAAATCTTAGGCGGTACGAGAATTCCTTGACCGTCCTGGGCCATGAAGTTCGTATCGTTGGTGAAACCAGTGTGAGCATCGACACCCTGCAATGTGGGCGATCTTGGGTGATTTTCAAGGCTATACTACGAATGCAAATGCACTAGGAATATGCTCAAGCGATTCACCTCTAAATAAGGGATGACGCCGGAGGTATACTGAATGCGAGGTCTCTTTGTGAAAGGGGAGCACTGCGGCAGGAAAATTCGCCAAGTTTCATCCATTTCCCATGGCTGTGTGCAGTTTTCTACTAATAAGAATAGATACGCTGAGACCTTAGCGGCAAATCAGAAGGAGGAGCAACGTATTACCTGCGGCCCACGTAGTTGGTAATGCTTCAGTGGACACATTTTCGTTTGGTTTCGCATGAATGCACTTCGCTATCCGATCGCTCATATTTAGAACAGAGACAACACGAGTAAGCACGGGCGCAGCTGAAATGGATACTTCAAAGTGAACAGCAGGAAGCTGCATTCGATGAAAGTGATAAGGAATTCACCCCATGAAAGACCACCACTTTTTGCGGCTTTCTTGATTTCCGACAGACATTGCGTCAGTAGGTCAACAAGCTCATCTAGGAGCCCGGATTTATCCATTTCATTCCAGAATGTCACTGGTTCTGAAATCGTTCATATGGTTGTTGAGAGTGTTGTAGTTTATTGTTAGCTACTGGGTACTGAAAGCGTGATTGCTACATGTCGGTGCCATACTATTGCAGTGCATTGAAGCGTAGCAAGTTAGCAACCAGTATGATGTGTCCATAACAGGCGGTCGTAATAAAACGCTCTGCATCTATCGTGAAAGTCGGTGTGTTTGCACGCATTCTTACGCATGCGGTTGGCAACCTGCAGGTTGTTGACGAGATTTCAAACCAGTAGGCAACCTCACACTTCAATATCGCTTTAGCCGACTGAAAGCTAATATTTGGTGCAAAATGCGTTCGAGAAAAAAAGGAAAACTGAAAAAGGGCGGTGCGCGAGCGATGGCCGCAAGATTTGCGAGCATGCAGAGTATCGTAGCCATATCTTATGGATTTTCACAACAGCTTTCATAGGTGCGATAGCGTGAGATGAGTCTCACCCCCCTTTCACTTTCAAGCCTGGG